TGCCACGTCTTTGACGATGATTATGTTCCCATTGGACAGACGATGTTTGCTCCTGCCTCCCCTGGCGCCTTCCCTTGGTAGTTTCCACTGTTCTTCTTTTGTGAAGCTCTGACTCCCCTACATCCCGCCTAACACCAACCATGATGTTGTCACCTGTCATCGAGGTTGATGTCCTGAAACTTCTCGGCACTCTGGCTCTTGGGATCTCTAGTGGTGATGTTACTATCCCAACCATCTCCTACGGCCCCCTTCTCTCCGTCTATATGGCGTCCGGCTTCAGCACCATTCCACCCTGGTGCGTCACCTCTTCCCTGGGTTTGGTACTTGCTGTCCATCAGCTACATCTGGATCCTGGTACTGCTGGGTCCTGCCGGGCTTCAGTCTTCGCTGCAGACTTCCTCTACCCATGCTGACCCTGTAAGTATATCCTCAGGCCCTCTCTGGCCCTGCGTTCTTGTAGGGACCCCTTCCTGGGGTACCCACCAGGTCCCCTCACTGGGACTGCTTGTGAGCTCTGGCCCCTCCAGGCCGGTTGGGGACTCCACTTCCGGTCCCCCTTGCTTGTCTTCCGCGTCTTTTATCCTGGCCCTGAGCATCTGGCCAACCAATCAGTCCCGGCACACTCTTACAAAGCGTGCCCATGCTGACGTGGGAGCTGTTCCTGGCTCCTTTAGGCTCGACCATTTTTTTTCCTTATCTTTTCCTGCGGTGACTCCACCCGCCATGGTTTCACTTTCACTGCATTTGTCTTCTGGCATGGCATCCCACCGCCTCCATGCCTTGTCCGGTAAGTCTTTTCCACACACTGCCATCACTCCCCCCTCCCACTGACTTCTGGGGAGTTCCACAGGTTGGATGACATGGCTTTGTGGGGTGTGTCTGGCCTGCAGGCCAGACGTTGAGCACCACTGGGTTAGAGTATATCAGCTATTCTGTAGTTATTGCTTGAATACATGTTTTTGCCTCAGGGTAAATGTGAGATTGATTACTCCTCAATTAAAATGGGACAGGTAATTCAATTTAGCATGGGATAAAAGCATGCACATGGGTAATTACTGCACAGTAACTAGTACTCAGAACATTAGATTACCTTGTACGAACTTAGTTGTGGGTTCATATCCTAAATTCATGCTGAAGTTTATTTCACAGTGACTTGTTTATCTGCCTATATCCTTAGGTAAGGCTTGGAAACAGTTGGTATGCATGGTACACAGGGTACCAACAGATGGTATACATCCATATGGTGCTACTAGCACTTATCTACCATAACATTCTTGGTCTTCAGAATTTCAGCTTTAAGTTTAAAAAAAAGGAAAAATAAAGAAGTAGTTATGAGCTGCTTGGCTTACAAATAAAATCTAAATATTTTGAACTATGGTGTTTATATTAATCTATAAGAAGCATGCAATAATTACTATGAAGGTCATTAACTAACATACCTATCTCAATGAGAAATTATTTCAGAAAATAATTTCTAATACTTAAAATGTCAACACTGTGGATTTCAATTTTTCATATAGAAAAGGGTGGGAGGTGTCAGAGAACTGTACAATTAACAGTTCATGACTTCTAATTTAGGTGTCATCTGCTGGATTTGAGAAATGCCACCATTTATTTTTTAACCAATGAAGAAGTCAAGGCTAGATTTAGTTGATGCAATTAAGTCTCACCAAACAAGAACCATTTTTAGGAGCCTAACAGAGCTCAAGGGCAACATAATCACATGTAGAATGTTAGAACCATCTCTTTTGAGTGGTAGTTCATCTGAGCTACTCGCAGAGGCAAGATAATATTTTTGTGAGTGGAACCTGGAGGAATAGCACCACCTTTTAATTGTCCTGGGCTCTGGCCAGAAGTTACCAAACTTTTTTCATTTGCAACCTACTTACAGACCAAGAATTTCACACCACTCCATGTTACCATAAGCAATATGGTAACCAGAAGACAAAGCCCTGGTTGGAATGCACCAGCTGGGGATGGTCCCGCTTTGAGCAGGGGGTTGGACTAGATGTGACTTCCAGAGGTCCCTTCCAACCCTAAATTTCTATGATTCTACGAATAATTAACTTTGGCAAACATAATGCCTAATTGAACTAAGGCACACGTTATATCCTCTCAGTGGTGAGATTTAAGTGGTGTATTGAAAAAGCACATCTCAAATTTTACATGAGATTCATACTGATACAATAGTAGGACTTCATAGAAACCCATGTACTGAATCCAGTTACATACAAATACATGCTTTCATGCACCATTTGGTAGTGTTAGACCCATGGCAGACATGCAAGTGAAAGCACACTAGGATCTGATGCAGGACCCCCACAACTCTGCTTCCTGTCATGCCACATGTGCATGGCAGGATTCATGATTGTGGGAACCAGTGTCAGAACCCATCATGTCCTCTTGCTGGTGTAGGGGGAACCCAGGATCATGATCCTAGCTCCCCCTGCACAGGCAGGTAGTAAACTGCAGCTGTGGAGGCACATGTGTGGTCCAACTACTGGAAGCCCTATCTGCTGATGGGGCTCCCAGCCACTGGGGCACCCCCTTAAGTTGGGAGCCCCAGCCTGGCCACATGTTCAGTTAACAGCATGATAGGAACCAACTACTGTACAAAGTTACTACACATTTTTTGTGTAATAACTTTGTTGTTTATTCCTTGTTTTATCATGCCATTAACTGCATTAATGTGTGGCCAGTTAACAATGTAAGACATGGCTAACTGGTGAATCATGTCTTAAGTGTAATGTGTGCCAAGGATCTTAGATATGTAACATTCACAGCAAACCAGAAAGAAAGATTCAGGTAATCTATGTGCTTGCATTTTGATTGCAGGATAGCTTCATAAACTGCTTTATTTCAGTTGTTGAGAATCATCAACTGTTAACTGAAATGGGCCTTGTGTTTATTTTGACACGTCCAGGACCACAGCTAAAGTTGCAAACTCTTTCTTCAGTCAAGTGAGATGGTTCATTAGAATCTGAGTGGGAAGCTGAATGCTGGCATTTTTAGTCAAAATTTGCAAAGTCAAGGTAGTGTTTCATAGTTCAGTCTCTAACAGATTATTCTTCCAGAGGGCAGTTATTTTCATGAAACCAATTATGGAAACCAGTAAAGCAAAATGTGTGTTCCTGCTTTCTTGAGGTAACCAATTCATTCAGATTTAAAACAAATATGTCACCTTGTTAACACATCTTACTGCATCCCACAGAAAAATAACAACTTCAGGTTGTTAGCAGTCTATAGCCTGGCTCTCAGTTCAAATAAAAATCCCAGAATGTTTCCTCTGGATAGCTATCAGCCTTTCACTGCAACAATGATACATCATGCTCTGATTCCATAGTCTCCCACAAATTGGTAATATTTCTTTTATCTTGAAAGTAGATGTACAAGCGGGAAAGTTGATAACCAAATCATCTGCTTGCTATTTTGCACAGATTCTTTCTTATAAAAATATTCCTGCACTAGATGGTAAAAGTTTTACAATATCAGGTGATAAGTGTTTTGTTTTCTGACAAAGTAGATATCTTTATCTTTTAATTGAAAAGTTGTCAGCACTGTGTTTGCCTTGTTAACAGAAGGAAGCTAAAATATCAGTGATGTCTCAAATTAGCTCATGGCTTTATGGAAATATGTAAAGACAGATCTGCACAGAAAAGGTATTTGAATAAATTCCATTAACTTGAACCATTTTGCTCAGATAAAAACACAAACAGTGGAAAGAGCAAAAAATGCAGTCTATTAGACAGTGGAAAATATTTTAACATAAGCCTTTTCTGATGTACCCGACATTTCATCTGGCTGGGGTCATCTCACTCCAGCGGTCTTTCCTACCTAGGCAGGGGGTCAGACCTGATGATCTGTTGAGGTCCCTTCCAACTCTAATGTCTATAAATCTATGAATTTCACCACCTGGAAACTGATGTAGTGATTTTTGCAAAATACGACTCTCAGTAGAGGCCATACGAGAAACATCTGACATCTCCATCTTATTTTTGTTGCATAGCATGGCTACATTACACTTCACGGCACTTGATATGCAGCAATTGCCATGTTTCTTAAAACATCTGGAACCCTGTGAAAACGTGTAATATACAATATTATACAAAATTTAATATACAAAAACCAAAAAAACCCCACCCAGCTTCTAGCTCACAGAACAGTGGTTTACAACCTTGTTAAGACTCATGGCAACCCACAGAAAATGCCAGCCTGTTTTCCCTAATTTGTTGACCATAGAAAAACAACAGAGCTGTTCTTCTGTTGCAAAGAACTGAGAGAGATAACAGCAGCTGTTTTAATGCTAGGGATTTCCATTTGAAATCTCTGGGTTTATCTTGCGAGTCACGTTTGCGCAGCTATCAAGTGACACCCCACAATAGCTGGGAGAGGATCTCAAGTCACCCTGGGGTGCTGTGGCACTGACTGAGAACCACCGCCCGCTGTAGACCAATAGGACGCGACGGCTGGAAGGGATCTCAAGAGGGCACATAGGCTCCTGCTGTATTATGTACATCAGGCAATTAACTAATTCATCTCAACATAAATTTACGCTGACCACACCTATGAGGCAACTGTCAAGCCATAACAATCTCTGTCCAGCTATACAAAGAGCCAACCACCTACAAAGTTAGTGCTTGCAAACTTTATAGCTGGTTTCTATCCAGTTTTCACTGGATGTGGAGTCCACGATCCCTGCCCAAACCAACCGACCCAAGCGCAAATATGCAGGAACCACCCGCTTCTGCAGCTGCTAAACCCTGGCCACAACCAGCACCTAAATAGGAAGTGCCCGAGGCAGTGAGGGGGCACTGTCTGTATACTCCCCACACCAGGAGCCATCATTAGCTCCTCTCATCCCCAAGCCTGGGAAACCGACGGGATCATTGACCGTTGTCTTCGATCTGACAGGCCTCAGCACCAGCGCGCATGCGCCAGCGCGAGGCCACGCGGCCGCTCCTGCCGCGAGATCTCGCGAGATCTCGCGAGAGCGGGTGTTATCGCGAGCGTTCATCGGCACGGTTCTCCTGACTGGACTTGGCGGGAGCGTCTGTGGCGGTTGGAGGTATCGGTGGCTCCTGCTGCGCCGGGCGGGGGAAGGGGGGGGCCGGGGACAGCCCTTATGTCCCGCCGGGGCGCCCTAGGGGGTGGGGGGGTAGCGATTCTGCGGCTGCCTTTGCTGGGCGATGCTCGCCCTTCCGTGACTGGGGGCCGTTTGGGCCTCGTCCATCGCCGCGCCTCGCTCGTATTGGGGCTGGGGAGGGTGCCGGGCTTCACCGCAGCGGCGCTCAGCCGGGCCGGGAGCCTTTGAAGGATGCGAGGTGTGCTAGCTCCTGCCCAGGAGAAACCCAGAGGCCGCCCAGTGTATCTGTGGTAGCCGTGGTGGTCCGAGACGGAAAGAAATGCAACAACCTTGAACTCTGGGTTCCAAAATGACACCTCTCGTTATACCAACTGGGACGTGGCAAAAAATATCTTTTTTGGCAAGTTTGGAAGCTGCATTTTTGGCAAGCTTGAAAGCTCATTAGACCAACAGAGAAATTGCAGAAAATTTTTTTTTTTGTCAAGCTTGAAAGCTCATTAGACCACCTGAGAAATGTAAAAAATATATATATATTTTTGAGGGTTTCCCCCAGAGGTGGTACAGTCACCCATCCTGCCGATCTTCAAAAAGCATCCTGATGCCCGCTTTGCTGGGGTCATCTGACCTCAGCAGTCTTTCCTGCCCAAGTGCAGGGGGGCTGGGTTGTTGTTGTTTTCTTATTTGTTTGTTTAAACAACAGTTGCAGGTTAATTGGGTCCATCATTGTTGAAGCACAAGGAGTCATGTTAGAGATATTGGTGGGGGAAATATATATTTTCTCTAAAGGAAATGGTGATTTTTTTTTTTCTTTTGTCAAAACTTAAGTGTTTTCAGTTTTGGGAATTGTAACAGTCCTCCATGGAAAGTAGCTTGTCTGCAAAAGCATTTGTTTGGAAATTAGTTCTTCAGTCTGTCTATTCCCTGCCTCCTCTACTCCCCCAGCCCCTCATAAAAAAACTGAGCTGTAAAAAATGTTGACCAGCCTTTTGTATCTCAGTTTTAGACTACCTGGTGACATCTTGTAACCCACACACCCATTGGCAATATTCTCCATGAAAGCAGATATTTTCAAGGCAAAATATGAGTAGCTTGTAATAGGCCATTTCCTGTATGACAGTCTCTTCTTAGTACCCTTTCTTCTTCAGTGATTTGTAAGCTTGATATTCTCTTACAGGGGAAATAGCTGCGAAGATGGTAGATCCAGTTGAAGGCAACAGGCTTGATCTTCCTGATTATGAGCATACAGAAGATGAAACATTTCCACCTCTTCCACCACCTGCCTCTCCAGGGAGACATGATGATGAAGGGGCCCTAGCGAATGAAGGTGCATATTTACTAGAGTTACAGAAACCTTCCTCACAACATGGTTCGCTGTTTTTAAGATGCTTTTTTCCATTGATTATTTCTTAACTCTCTTACGTACACATTCTTTGGTTTTCAAATTTTCCCTTTTTTGAACTAAGAGTAGAATGTTACTGACTAGAAAATATAATGGTTTAGGTAAATGCAGAAACCTTTGTATGTGGGAAGGAGCTTCCAACTTGATTTTCGTAGACATTTAGACATTTGGGCTGGAAGGGACCCTGGAGGATCATTGAGTCCAGCCCTCTGCCCCATGGGCAGGAAGTCAGCAAGGATCATAGGATCCCAGCATGATAAGCATCCAAATGTGTCTTGAAGGTGTTCAAAGTGGGTGCTTGAACTGCCTCTGGTGGCAGTCTATTCCAAACCTTGGGGGCTCGGACAGTAAAGAAGTTCTTCCTTATGTGCAGCCTGAATCAGTTGTGGTGGCGTTTGCAACCGTTCAATTTATTCATCCCTTGGGGTGCTCTGGTGAACAGATCTTGATGAGCACCCCTGATAAACTTATAGGTGGCCACTAGATCACCCCTGAGCCTGCACTTTTTTAGGCTGAAGAGCCCCGTGGCTCTCAGCGTGTCATCATAAAGTCTGTTTTCCTGACCTCTGACCATGCGCATGGCTCTCCTCTGCACCCTCTCAAGCTCTTCCACATCCTTTTTGAATTGTGGAGCCCAAAACTTGATGCAGTACTCCAGCTGCAGCCTCACCAAAGCCAAGTACAAGGGGAGAATGACGTCCCGGGATTTGCTTGAGAAGCATCTATGGATGCAAGCCAGCGTTTTGCTCGCTTTTCTAGCTGCAGCATCACATTGAAGGCTCGTTTTCATCCTGTGGTCAGTCATGACCCCCAAGTCCCTTTCATCTGTAGTGCTAACCAGCGTAGCACTGCCGAGCCTATAAGTATGCTGCAGATTTTTCCTCCCAAGGTGGAGACCCTTGCATTTTTCGGTGTTGAACCCCATCAGGTTCTCATCTGCCCATTTCATGAGCCTGTCAGGATCTGCCTGGATCACCCCCTGTCCTCCAGTGTGGATGCTTTACCCCAGAGTTTGGTGTCGTCGGCAAACTTGGCCAGTCTGCTTCTGACACCAATGTCCACATCATTGATGTAGATGTTAAACGGTGTAGGCCCTAGCACAGAGCCTTGAGGGACCCTACTCATGACCACGCACCAAGACGATTGGCTTCCGTCAACCACCACCCTCTGGGTCCTACCACGGAGCCAATTCCCCAGCCAGCAGATCGTGGTGGACCTGAGGCCGCAGTTAGCCAGTTTTACCAAGAGGTGCTCATGGGATACCAAATCGAAGGCCTTTTTAAAGTCAAGATGTATGCCATCAATCTCTTCCCCCATGTCCAGGTGATAGGTCACCTGGTTGTAAAAGGAAATGAGATTGGTCAAGCAAGACCTAGCCACAACAAACCCCTTGCTGGGTATCCCTCAGGATATTGCTGTCAGCTAGTCTGTTAAGAATGGCCTCTTAGATAATCTTTTCCAAGACCTTGCCCAGGATAGAGGTTGGCTGATGGGTCTGTAGTTTGCCAGATCTACTTTCCTCCCTTGAAGATTGGCACGACATTGGCTTTCTTCCAATCTTCGGGCACTTCACCAGAGCACCAGGAGTTTTCAAAGATCTGTGCCAGGGGCTGAGCTATGATACTTGCCAGCTCAATGAGTACCCTTGGGTGTCAACCATGGGGGCTGGCTGACTTGAAGGTATCCAGCCTGTCAAGGTGTTCCTTCACAAGGTCAGCTCGATAGAAGGTAATGAATCTCCCTTGTTCGGGCCTCCCTGACCCACAGTAGGCAGGGGCATACCATGGGACTGGTGAAAAACTGAAGCAAAGTACCCATTTAGCACATTTGCTTTTTCATGGGCATTGGTTGTTAGTTGTCCTGTCTGGTTTAGCAGGGGTCCGGTGTCTCCCTTGCTTTTCCTCCAGCTCCCTGTGTATCTATAAAAGGACTTATTTTATCCTAGATATTTGTAGCTAGCTGGAGTTCCATCGTAGCCTTGGCTTT